AAGGACCCATGGTAAGAATACGATTATTTTTCATTTTTTAAACGCGGCAAATGGATTGATTCCAAAGTTTTGGCGTGTCCATGAGAATCCAAGTGTAAAGGATTGGATACTTAGGGTAGGATATATTTATAATATGGAGGAATTATACCATAGTGAGGAGGATAAAATGGAAAAAAAGTTTACGAACCTGGAAAGGATGGAGTGAATTTAAAAACTCAAAAAGATATATAGAACTGGTGGGAGAGTAAAAAGAGAGAAAGAGATAAGTCATGAAGGGAAGAGGCAAAGAAGAATAAGAAGAGAAAAGAGAGTGAGAACACATTTAGTTTAGAAAAATTGAAGGAGAAAAAGAAGATAAGAGAGGATATGCGAGAGGAGGTGGGGAAGGGGATGGCAAGAGAAGGGGGATTGTGGGGATATGGTATGGAAAAAGGGAAAAAAGGAAAAAGTGTAAAAAAAAAGGGGGAATTGTTGAATGTTATGATATTATGTAAGGATTTTGAAATTTTTGTAAGTAAATGAAACTAATAATAAAAATATAATAAAAATAAAAAAAAGAAGAAGGTGGAGCTGAAAGCTAGATGTGGAGATTGATTGATTGCAGAAGAAATCTAATTCAGCTTATTAGTGCTTTTTAAGTACATGCATATATGAGCGATTTTAACAGTTTGAGAGTTGGATTAAATAAATGAATACTACATTAAAAGAAAAAAAAAAACATCAATTTTCTTATAGATCTGTTAATTAAAATGGAATGCCATCATATGACTAATGATTCAGATTTCACCTTTATAATGGTTTGAACAAAGAGTCTTAAATCTGCCTCCCTCCCAAAACACACCCATTCCATTGGTAATCATTTTTAGGAGCAGTTTATTTTGACAGGATTATACTAGAGCAAAACTGCATAAATGGCTGATGTTTGACATGTGCAACACAATTTTGTGATTCGTAGATTCAGATGTACAGTATATGAATCAGAACAGTAACAAATTTCAATGACAAAGAAACAAGAAAACAAAGAAAAAAATTAATTCATTCGTATTCATTTGTTTCATTTGGATGACATGATGCAATAGTTTGGGCCATTTGTTAATGTTTTTGTAGCATCCGCAAGATTGTAAGCTCGTAAGAGTAGGGCCCTCTTACCCCTCGTACGTTGTTTGTTGTTGTTGTACTGTGCCATGTATTGTCCCCCCTATTGTACAGCGCTGAGCAAACCCTTTGGCGCTATATAAACTCGTAGTAATAATAATAATAATAATATAACAAAGGATCCAAATTGATTTGGATCCTTTTTGTTCTTTTTTTGCAGTAACATCTTCATTTTTCATGACGGCTGTATGTATACTGTATATGCGGCCTCACGGAAATGGGTGTTTATCTGTGGGGCCGCATATATGCGTATCTCTCTTTGTGCTGGGAGTACCCCACACAGGTCCCTCCAAGCACAGAGCTCAGGCTCTCACTGACAGCACTGGGTCTCGTACTAACGATCGGAACCTAGGACTCCATGTCCCACGTCACCTGTTCGCTGTGATATCCTCTGATTGGCTATCACAGTAATCAGTCCACCCTGTGTTTACTTCCTCTTCTGAATGAAGAGAGAGAGGAAGATGTAAACAAACAAAAGTGTGAAAAAAAATAAAAAATAAAGAAAAACATAGCTAAATCAAGGTTTGATCTAGGTCACTGCCAGGGTTCGTGTTAGAGTTAAGGTAAGGGTCAAGGTCAGGGTCAAAAATTGGGAGTCAAAGGTTACAACCAGTATATTTTTGGGAAGACTTTTTTAAAAAAACATTTTTTGAATTAGTGTCAGTGTGTTTTAGGTAGGATTAAAAAAAAAAGCAAAATGTACACTATTGTTTCTGGGCTGTACTACGGGTACAAACCACAACTAACATAGACATATACGGTATCACTACGATCATCAAGAGCAGGAAAATGTATTTTGGTTTGTTCTTTGATGGTAAATTATGATAATAGCAAGAAATATACAGCTACGTTTTAACAAAGAATATATATTTTTGTTTTATTTTGAGCCAGTTATCCTTTGATAATAAAAACAATTATGGTGATGGGCAGGGGCGGACTGACAACCCATGGGGCCCTCAGGCAATAGGGGATCATGGGGCCCCTGTGTCTTTGCCCACACTCAAAAAAGCCTATAAAAAGGTACCAGGGGCATTTCATGGGGCCCCCTACTGACCTGGCCCTCGGGCAGTGTCCGAGTGCTTGAATGGTCAGTCCGCCCCTGGTGATGGGTAATAGACAGAAGGATTAAGGAAATGATGAAGATAATTGATATTATTACATTTTCTATTTTTCTCTTTTTTTGTTTGTTTTTATTTATGGGGGGGTGTAATTAATTTGTTTGTTTTTTTACTGTAAAGATATTTTTTTGAAAAATCAATAGGATGTTTTGGAAAAAAAATCAGGAGATATCTGTTACCATTTACCACCAAATACAAGCCGAATTTGTACAGAAAAAAACGCAGTATAATCCACCCGGATGCACAAAGTAGTTGCAATGATATGTACGGTTTTACTAACACATGTCAAAGTTGCAAAATTGTGTTAAGGCATTAGGATTTGGGATTTGGTCACTAAGGAGTTAATTTCACTCCATTTGTTCTTTTAGATCCATTTTGGTTTTATTTTGAATTAACATTTTTCATTATTACAAAAAAAAAATCAGGTCATTCCACTTCACTTTGTGGATTGGACTAGCAGGAATGACTCAGCGTGCAATAGTTTCCCGAAACAATGATATCATAGCAATTTAGCCAATCTATCCGAAATGTACGAAATTAATCCAAATATACAAAACAAGTTCTGAAAGTGAATCGTTCTAACATGACGAATATGACTAAACTAAATTATTAGCTTAACAAATGAATCCAAAAGAAAATTAACTGTTTCATCATGCACATCACTATCTAATGTCATTTTTCTCATGGCTGATGTAACTGTTGCCAAAAAAAAAAAGTGAACTGCAAAGTGGGGGGGGGGGGGGGGGGGGGGGGGTCTGTGGCACCTCTAGCAGAGAGGGCTTCCCTTCTCACTCATTCTCTAAACTCTGATGAGTCAACCAACAGCATTACAGGATTTATGGGGTAAATTTCCCCATTGGGAGCATTTTACTTTACAGGTTAAAGCATAGATAAAACAAATAATAATTGCTAATGCTAGCTTGGGAAGATAATTCATAGGTGTGTCAAAGGACAAATAGGAAGTATTGGGGTTACAAATATTTCTATGTATTTGTACGTAATTATGAATGGCATAGTTGGATGCTCATACTGTACTGTGATGCACGTAGGCCAGGGGTGTCCAAACTTTTTTCAAAGAGGGCCAGATTGGATGAAGTGAACATGGTGGAGGGCCTAACATTTTTCCGAACATTCTTTGAACCATTACAATTAAATGCAAATAAATTATTTTATGCCAAGTTAATTGCAAACGACATACATAACATTAAGATCAACTGACAGCTGAGTTTTCACAATGTATTGAAAATAAATTTAAAAAAAACTTACCTGCACTAATGTGAAGGGTGAAAAAAGGTAGCTGGAGCTGAAGTCTCTGCTCGGCAGCCGGGAGGGGAAGAGAAACACACTTCACGCTGGAAGCCCGGCCCTGACGTCACTGCCCTCTGTCGCTCCCAGCGCGGCGCAGTCACGCATGCGCACTGCTCTCAAGCAGAAGACTGTCTGCCACAGAAGGGAGGGCCGTGCGACAGCCGCATTTACACAGACCAGGGAGAACGCGCCGCAGTCAGGCATGCGCACTGCCCTCTGCTCTCAAGCAGAAGACTGTCTGCCATAGAAGGGAGGGCCGTGGGAGGGCCACATTACACAGAGCAGGGAGGGCTGTTGGAGGGCCGTATTAAACCGACCCCCGGGCCGTAAATGGCCCGCGGGCCGGACTTTGGACATGCCTGAGGTAGGCAGATAACCTGTGCAGGTAACACTTTACTGAGTACTGGGGGGACACGGACCAGCAGCAGAGTGGATGAAATCTCCACCGCCAACCTGCATGATAATGGTCAAGTATTAAAAGTACATGTGAAAGTGAAAAACTGCGCTGTATGCATAAACAATGTATAAACCACAAATAAACAAATAAATAAAAACAAAATGTTGCTACTTTAAAAAATATCAAATATAGCACATGTTCCCTATGAGTAAGTTAGGTATGAGGAAACGCGTCAGACGTGGCTGTGCGGTGAGACCAGAAGTGACGTGACCAGAACCGGAAGTGACGCGGGAGCGTCAGTGATCGAGTATCTGGCAGTGGTGTGAGCACTGGCTCTGTTTTCTTATATGCAACATTGTTGGGCTTTTTATCTTCATTTATCTTGTAAGTGGTAATCCACTTTTGGCAATAAAGGAGCTGTGTGTTGTACTGCACCATTGGGGCCTTTTCTTGTTTTCTTTTACATGACCATTTATCTGAGTATGGAATACTAAGAGGAGGGAGGAATTCCTTTGTGCTACCCTAAGTGCTGCCATATTGGAAATTTATTATCAGTTGAAAAGGTTGCCGGCGTTTTTTTTTTGGGATAGGCGATTATGGAAAGTGAAGGAGAGGAAGCATATTGGGACTGATAGACCCTTCATCCCACCAAGAGATATATATTGAGCCATTTTTACCAACCATGAGAGTGGGAGGCAACACATGCTGATCGAGTGTACACATGATAGGGGGAACACCATTTTCTTTTCTCACGTGGTGGTTACTTTGAGAAGTGTAAAGAATCGTTTGGCGGATCAGGATCATTCTTTGGACTATACACTTACCTTTATTTATTTTTCATTTTATAATTTTTTTACACATATCTTTTCACGTATATATTTATGCGCTACTGGATCACTTTTGAGTGCTCATTTATGTGTTATATTATAAGTACATGCCCATGCCCCTAAATTCCTCTTATTTGAATTTTTTAATTAAAAAAAAGTAACATAATATAAAGTGAAACGAATTTTAAATCTTACATGGAGCAGGTTGAGCAGGATAAACTCATTCACTGCAAAGAGCGTCACTTGGAACAAGGTCATCAGCATGACTTGTACAGGGCTGACTGTTCCCAGAACTCCACCAAAGGCAATGCACACAGATCCCACACAGAAATCAGCATTGATGAGGCTGAAAGAGATCAATAAAATGAATATCGAAGTGACAGCCAGAAGGAATTATTAATACAAAGTATTAGATAATTGGAAAACTCAATTACAGTAATGTTTAGATACATGGATATACAGTAGGATGTGTGTGCACCTATACAGTACTATGTGTATATATATATATATATATATATATATATATATATATATATATACACACACACATACACCCACTGGCAACTTTATTAGGTCAACCTGTTCAATTGCTTGTAACACAAATTGCTAATCAGCCAATCACATGGCAGCACCTCAATGCATTTTGGCACCTAGACGTGGTGAAGACAACTTGCTGAAGTTTAAACGCAGCATCAGAATGGGGAAGAAAGTGACTTTGAACGCAGCATGGTTGTTGGTGGCAGACAGGCTGGTTATTTCAAAAACTGCTGATCTACTGGGATTTTAATGCACAATCATCTCTAGGGTTTACAGAGAATGGTCCGACAAAAAAAAAAAAAGAAAAAAGGTATATATATATATCTCATCCAGTGAACGGCAGTTGTGTGGAGGAAAATGCCTGGTTGATGTCAGAGGTCAGAGGAGGATGGGCAGACTGGTTGCTGTGATATTCAGATTGTAGGGTCAGGATTTGGTGTAAACAACATGAAAGCATGGATCCATCCTGCCTTGTATCAACTCTTCAGACTGGTGGTGGTGTAATGGTGTGGGGGATATTTTCTTGACTAAGGTGTACCTAATAAAGTGGCTGGTCAGTGTATAACTGTAATTTAATGCTCCATTCTTATAAAAAAAAAAAGTATTTAATACTTTTAGCACTCAAGAAAAGGTCTAGTACAAACACAGTTATGCTAAAAAAAAGGTATATGGTCTTGAAAAAATATAGTAAACATACAGAGAATACTTTCATCTTGGACTGACTAGGGCAGTGGTCTCCAAACCGTGGCCCTGGGACCAGATGCTTGCCTTTATCCAGTCCTTGAGGTGCTATTCCTTCCACTAACACCAACAAAGGGGCATCATTCCTTACACTGACAATAAAAATGGGCGACTATTCCTCCCACTGATACCAGCTATTTATCCCCCTAATACCAAGGATTGGGCATTGTTTACTATCGCTAGGCACAGTCCGGCCCCCCTAAAGTCTGAAGAACAGCAAACTGGCCCTTTCATTAGCAAGTTTGGAGACCCCCAGACTAGGGCATGGGACCCACCAATAAAATTAATGAATCCCAACCCTAACCCTTAAGCTGCCATAAAAGGACATACAATGAGAGTCAATGAGAACTGTCTTAATTAGCACTACTGAAGTCGCTCCGATTTTAGAATAAGTTCCTGTACTACTACAAAGCGACTACTATCCGACTTGTGCCCATAGACTTTAATGTCGCCTCCAGGTCAGATCCTCATCTATATTGATGTGATTTGGAAGATTACCCAGGCATTCCCTGAAAGTTGCTTCAGAGTTTCTTTGGAGTTGCTTCAAATTAGTACTCAAGTAAGTCGTGCGACTTTCAGGTCCTAGTAGTGTGAACCAAGTCTCAGCTAATAATATGCACATAAGAGACTAATACTGGTAATATTGCTACTAGAGCAGCCTTTTCAACCTTTTTTCACCATTAGAACCCCTAAAATAATGTTCAGGTGTCATGGAACTCTTATTAAAACAAATTTATTAGGGGGCCATTGAGGAAAACACCCATTAAAACCTTGCTAGTCCAATAGGAAGAATGTAACCCTTACAAACAGCTAAAAAGATTCTTGGTGTCACGCTGCTATCAAATGGGGGTTCAATCATTCACAGGCCAAGAAACAATCTCTGGAGGAACCCTAGTTGAGGGTGGCTGTACTAGAGTTTCTTGTATGAATTTAGATTTTTTTTCACTATCTTTGTCCCATTGTGGAGATTTCACTTCACATCCTGTCCCATAGTCAAACAAGAAGTGAGAGGAAATCGCTGCAAATTAACCAGTTGCAGACTCTGGACGTGTTAGACACGGCCAAATAAATGTCATCATCGTACACAGGGCATGTATAACACGTCCAGTCTTTCTGCCCTGCTGCCAGGACCTCCCTTGTCACAGTAATCAGCTCTGATTAATCAAAGAGTACACAGAGAAGGTTCTGACAGCTGGAACTGTCAAACTAAAGCAGTCCAGCAATGTTTATCAACAACACTGCTAAAAAAAAAAATATTGTTTCATTTTGTATCTGTTTATTCATCTACAGATCAAAGGGATTAACTTCGATATGCAGATGAAGTCAGTAGGTTCTGGTGGTTTACAGTGATGCAACTTGTCACGCAATTTGACTGTTCAAATCGCATGACAAATTGCATCCAATTATAATTGGCAATGGAACCATTCTAATCAGTGAGACACTACAACTACTTTTGCAATTCCAGGTGCACAGACATCTGTGGACAAAGTTGCAAGTCGCATCTGAAGTCGCATTGACATGTGGCTTTGAAATCATGCAACTTCAAGTAAGGTCGCATGATTTCTAATTCGCATGCAGTGCAAGGTTCCATTCACACTGGGTTTTTTCAAATCACAGGCGTAATCACTGCAATTCAGTCTGCGATTTGATAACGCACTGTAAAAGTGTGAAAACACACATCCAGAACCTTATTTAGGCGCTGCGTTTTCCACGATTTTGTTTACGCAATCATTGCCATGCAGAAAAATGCGGTAAAAACGCCCTGCGTTTTCAGGTGCCATTTAAATGAATGGCACCTGAAAATGTGATTGAGTGTTTTTACACTTTTACAGTGCGTTTTCAAAGCGCAGGCAGAATCGCATTGATTCCGCCCGCTATTTGAAAAAAAAAATAATGTGAACAGGGTCTTAGTTTATGCTAATCACCGCTAATTAACTCCTTATCCTCCTTCTCCAATCAATTATTATTTTCCTGCTGTTTTTTTTTGTAATTTATATTGTATTAACTAATAATATTTAAATTTGTTTTGGTTTTGTTTGTTAATATTTTTACTCCTGTAACAAATATTTACCAAATTCACATTTAGAAAAGTGCAAAATTGAAAAAACCCGCTTTATTTATTTGGAAATAACTTTGCAATGCTTTGTAGCAGAATCATAATTTTAGTATCATTTTAAACAGAACAAATTACAGAATAAAATGCACTTTTTTATGTGCAGTAACACTATTTATTTTTAAACTAACACTAAAAAAAAGAAAAAGTGCGTTTTGTTACGTTTCATTGTTTAAGTAAAAATCATTGTTGCAAGACAATATTCACGAAAAGAGAACCTGGTTTGCCCTTAAAAAAAAAATTATATAGGTACCTTTCACACGGGTGTTCTGTATATCCTTTATTCATTTGTCCGTTTATGGATGAAAAACAGGACACCCCTGTATTTCTATGGACTAGTGAATGCAAACAGATGATCATCTGTTTACATCTGTTAACGTCCCGCATCCATTAACCTCCCTATGGTCTGATTATGTCAGTATTTCTGTGCTCAAAGCGGTACATTTATTGACATGGAAATGTGTTGTTTTTTTATTATAGGTCTGTAATTCTTAGGAATAACTCACTGAAATCTGTCTGAACAAGAGTCTAGTAAACATCTCAGGTATGATAAAATTTCAAACACGAAATCATAAATTATAATTTAATAAATAATCATAAAAAATAATAATAAAATAATAATAAATTTAATTCAATAATGTAATCAAACCAAAAAACACTGAAATTTGAAATATAGCGCCAAGTTCGCACATCATTGAGCAAAGTCGCAAAATCGTTTTCAGTGTCTGATGATGAATTTCCCCACGAAATCATTATCACTCAATTCTGCAAGTGGTTCTGATTTACTATCGCTGTTCTCTAGCCGGTCTAAAACCGATTTTGACTTAAAGGGACGCTTTTTGGACGCCATGGACTTTCTCAGTTTCCAGGCAGAAAGAACAGTAAAAATGCAGGCAGGGCGCCGGACAAAGCACTCGGGACAAAATGTATGTGAAATGGTTTGATACAGTAATGTTTTACTATGTGATTGTAGTGTATTTAGTGAATGTCACTTTTAACATTTTTTAATTTCCCGCTGGTTCCATCCCCCGTATGTCCCGACGCTCGCAGGGAACGGAAGACGGATGCCGGCATCGGCCGGAGGAGATGGCCGGGGACGCTGCAGTGGGGACATCGCAGGAGCAAAGGACAAGGTAAGTGCTCGAGGGATCCCGGAGCAACGCTGCAAGGTATTCCCGAGTGTAGCTCGGGGTTACCGCTTCTGGTACTGAAAGTTAACCCCGAGCTACACTTGCCAGGGAGTACACTTGCAACAATACAGGTTAACATCCATTTTTTTGAATGGAAGAAAATCCTATTTTTCTTCCAGTAAAAAAACTAGAACCGGATGTAAATGGATGAAAAACGGATGTAAACTGATCCGTTTTTTTCTTGGAAAAACCATGACTGAACTGATGAAAAAAAATGAACGCCCGTGCGAAGGGGGCCATATGTATTACGTATTTATCTTAAGTAATTATCACGGAATAAACAGGTCCATAGCAGAAATGTAAAAATTGCTCAAGTCCATAAGGGGTGAACAGATGTGAGAGCTGAAGTGGTTAAGGGAATTCCCTTCCCCTCTATTAGTTTTCTGGGGACAACACATGATTTGGTATTTTCTTATACTAGTAAACAGGACAAATAGAGAGGCTGAATCTCCTTAACAGGGACACAGACAGCAATAAAAACAGACAGGGGTTCTAATCCATCTCCACTCTATCCAACACTAAAAAAAAAAGTTTTGCCTTTACCCTCCGTTCACATCAAGCCTGATTTTGAAATTGTGCGACTTACAGTGAAGTCATGTAATTTCAAAGTCGGGGGACCCACCGATTTCAGGGTTCAATTTGGAAGACATCTGATACAGATGTCTATGCAAATCACACCAAAA